GCTCTCGTAGCTTAGATGTAAAGGGCCATACATTTTTCACCGAGAGGCAAATCTGATCTTGTTGAAAGGCTTTAAAGAGCAAAGGGCTGCTCACACAAGAGTCATAAATTACACAAATAGAATAAGCTAAGATTGTAATGGCAAGGCTGTCACTATGAGACCTGTGTTATAATCCGTAAAGTTTTAGTCTTGAGCAATTTCTTCTATTACTACAAACGTCTTTAAGAGCCCAAATTATACTATTTTCTGATCTATGTTATAATGTTGTTTCCTCATCACAAGCACATCTGTAATTGTGTTTTGTTTCATTCACACATTTTAACACACAAACCCTGCATATTAGAATGAGCTCTTCAATGAAACAGAAAACACGCTGTTCCGGCTCGAACGTCCCCCTGGCTTAGAAAGTCCCGGCTTGAGCGTGCCATCTTCTCTCCGGGCGCTGCATTCTCTTGGGCGGCATACTCGCCAGCCTTTAGTACAGAGGTGTCGAACTCATTTTGGTTCGGGGGCCGAATCCAACCTACTTTGATCCTAAAGGGGCCGGATCAAAAAACTCATGTCATATAAACCCCAAAAAATAACAATAAGTTCAAATATTTGTGCAGAGAAACACAAATCTATTACAGAAATCTTTTTTAACTGATGAACTCTTTCTTTTACAAAATATTATAATATTATGAACAACCTGAAACTTCAATTCAAATTTCAACACAATGTTTTAACATGAACTTGTCTGTAAATAGGAATAAGTCAATTTTTGTTGGAAAATCCTGCACTCGGCTCCACTTTTCTAATTTTTTACATTTTTCTGATGAGGGTGTCACGGTCAACAGTCAAAACGATCGTCCTTTAAGAGCGTTTGGAAAGAGACAAGTCTTCATTTGTGCTGCTCTGGTGGGAGGGGCCACGTACAGAGACGCTGGAGACGCTGCTGTGATAAACACCACAGAAAATTAACAAGATTTTAATAAAAATATAATTAAAATATTTTAGTAGAAAATCAGCCGAGGGCCAGATTAAAGGTCTCGGAGGGCCGGATCCAGCCCCCGGGCCGTATGTTTGACACCTGTGCTTTAGTATGTGATGTATTAAGTTAGAAAATGAGCATTCTATATCATAATAAAATGAAATGTGAATGTAGCGAGACCAAATGTCGAACCTTGTTTATGTCATTTCACCGATCTTCCCGAACTGAGGCAGTGTGCTTCACTGGTGGACTATTCCTGAGGAGTCATTTGACACACTGTATTTACTCTGTTTGTGTGTGTTTGAGTTTGAGACCACATCATTTTTGCATGTTTTGTTTGTATGTATATATATATTTTAATACATATACGTATATAAGGTATATGTTATCTCTAAAGGTCTATATAAGGTATATAAATTGCACCACTGTGTTTTTAAATTCCATACACCTTCACTAAAAGCATTTAATCTCAACCCTGGAATTTTCAAGATCTAGAAAAAAAATAAAAATAAATAAAAATAAATAAATAAATAAATGATAAAATAAATACTAATACTAATACTACTAATAATAATAATAATAATAATAATGATAATAATAAAGCTGTTAACCTGAAAACTACCGCTTCATGACATCACAAGGTGGAACTGAGCATTTTGAGCTTTAATGATGTAGTCTAATAATGTCTAATAATAAAGCGTTACTCAAACATGAATGAAACAAAACACAACTCCGGGTATGTTTTTGATGAGGTTTTGTGTAATACAGGACATTTAACATTTAATGAATATCATGTATATTTCTTTAATTAACTAAGGCGAGAAAAGGTATCAAATAGTAGAAATAATTGTAGAAGTATGACATTAATTTCTAACTGAACTTAAAGGTGTAGAATGTAGCTTTTCTTAGTTTGTCTACATCTCCAAAGCTCAAAATGCTCTGTTCCATTTTGTGATGTCACGAAGTGGTTGTTTTCAAGTTAACAGCTGCTTACCTTTAGTTCAGTGGAGACCTGACTGAAATCATCCATATGATTCTAGTGAAGGTGTACGGAGTTTAAAAACATAATGGAGCACTTCCTGTTTTTCTGGTTGAGAGAATCTAAATCTTAAATCTAATTATGCAATGTTTATGTGTTAAACATGTGTGAAAGAAACAAAACACCAGGTCCAGGTCTGTTTGTGATGAAGAAACAACATTAAAACATCAGAAAACAACCTAATACGGGTCCTTTAAAGACGTTTCGGCCGTTATTCATCATTGCCCCACCACCAAGTCACTGATGTATAATCCCAGTGTAATTTGGGGTCGTATCCATGCATTTAAAACTATACTGAACAAATCCCCTCTTGTCCCATAATTGTTCCCTGGTTGCGGGTTTCCTGGCTGTATAGGATTCTCTGGAAAGCCCCGGGCCATATGCACTGACTTTCACTTTTTGAGTATGCAGAGGTGATGACAGCTCTGACATGTCACCTCTCAGCTCCTGCCTTATCACCAACACGTTCATAAACAGATACCGCGGACGCAAGGAGGGGAAGGGGGCTATTAAAAGACCTATATGACACAGAATTGACTCTTGTGAGATTTAAGCCACGTTCGAAAGCCGTTACCTCCTCAAAAACATACCTGGAGTTCTGTTTTGTTTCATTCACAAATGTTTAACCTTGTCTGTCTGCATCTCCCAAAGCCCAAAATGCTCTGTTCCAACTTGTGATGTCATGAAGCAGTTGTGAAGTTAACACCTAGTCAAGATTGGAAAGTCCAGGGCTGAAATGATCCGAATGATTCTAGCGAAGATGTATGGCGTTTGGCACTTCTTGTTTTAACAGATGACATCACAAAGTGGAAGTGAGTGTTTTCAGTTTGAGAGAAGAACTCAGCCTAAATATACAATGTGTGAATGAAACAAAACGCAGCTCCAGGTCTGTTTTTGATCAGGAAATAACATTATATCCTTTAAATATGAACAGAATCTGAACTTGAAATCAGCGCACTTGCAGTCACCATTTCCTCGTTGCTTGTGCACTGCAATCGACTATTTGCATTTATGTAAAAACGGATTTAATTGTAGTGATGAGAATGGAGATGAATGGTGCTATTCTGTCAGTCAAGGCAAAACATTACACTGATGCACATAAATTATACATAAGATGAAATAAGAAAGGTTTAGTCGCATTAAAACAAGTCATAGCTGTATTTATTTTGTATTTTGAGCAGAAGTAACCAGGTAACACTGCATGGCACAGGTCACTGAAACTCATGTTATTTGCAATTTTGAAATGAAAAATGAACTTGTTTAGTCAGAAGTATTGTACACACAGTAATAGCAGTAGTAGTGGAAGGTCTAGGTTAGCAGTAGTAGTAGTAGTAAGAGTATTTTTTGTATTCTGAGCAGAAGTAACCAGGTAACATTGCATGACAGAGGTCACTGAAAATGTTATGTTAAATACAATTTTGAAATGAAAAGTCAATTGGCTTGGATCAAACTACAGTCAGAAACATTATACACACAGTAGTAGCAGTAGTAGAAGCAGTAACAGTATTTTTGTTTTCTGAGCAGATGTAACCAGGTGACGTTACAAGGCACAGGTCATTAATCTTGGTATGTTAATTGCAATTTTGAAATGAAAGTGAACTGGTTTAGATCAAGCCCAAGTCAATATTGTACACACGGTAGTAACAGTAGAAGTAGAAGATCTAGGGCAGTAGTAGTAGTAGAAGTACCTAGTATTTCGCACCCTTGTAGCAGTACAATTAGCAGTAGTAATAGTACTCAGCTTATGAAAAGTTAACTAGTTAGATCAAGCTTAGGTCAAACCATAAAGTCACCAGCATTATACGCACAGTAGTAGCAGTAGTAGTGGAAGATATAGGGTGATAGTAGTAGCAGTAGTAGTAGTAGTAGTAATAGTAGTAGTACCTAGTAATCGCAGCCTTGTAGCAGTACAATTAGCAGTAGTAACAGTACTCAGTCTATGAAAAGTTAACTAGTTAGGTCAGGCCTAGGTCAAACAATAAAGTCACCAGCATTATACACATAGAAGTAGCAGTAGTAGTAGTAGTGGAAGGTCTAGTGTAGCAGTTGTAGTACTAGTAACAGTATTTTTTGTATTTAAGTAACCAGGTCTATTCCAAAATGAAAGTTAACTGGTTTAGATCAAGCCTAAGTCAAACAATAGTCAGTACAGTATTATACAGACAGTAGTAACAGTAGAAGTAGACGCTCTAGGGTAGAAGTAGTAGCAGTAGTAGTAGTAGTAGTACCTAGTAATAGCAGCCTTGCAGCAGTACAATTAGCAGTAGTAATAGTATTCAGCTTATGAAAAGTAAACTAGTTAGGTCAAACTTAGGTCAAACACTAAAGTCACCAGCATTATACACATAGTAGTAGCAGTAGCAGTAGTAGTGGAAGGTCTAGTAGTAGTAGTAATAGTACCTAGTAATAGTAGTGTTACAGCAGTACAATTAGCAGTACTAACAGTATTCAACTTATGAAAAGTTAACCAGTTAGGTGAAGCTTAGGTCAAACAAGTCACCAACATTAAACACACAGTAGTAGCAGTAGTAGTAGAAGATCTAGGGTAGTAGTAGTAGTAGTACTAGAAGTCCTTAGTAATCGCAGCCTTGTAGCAGTACAATTAGCAGTAGTAACAGTACTCAGTCTATGAAAAGTTAACTAGTTAGGTCAAACAATAAAGTCACCAGCATTATACACATAGTAGTAGCAGTAGCAGTAGTAGTACTTGTAGTAGAAGTACCTAGTAATCGCAGTCTTATAGCAGTACAGTCAATAGTAGCAATAGTATTTAAAGTAGCAGTAGTTAAAATAGGAGTAAAAGCAGTAACTATAACCTCAGCAAGTCATGTCCCAGCATAAGCAAGTACTACTACTACTAAAACAACAACAGTACTGCGTATTGGAGACCTGCAGCCCTCACTGACAGCTCGAGGAACCCCCTGTTGATGTGTTTTAAAGTATGCCCAGTCAAAAGTGAGTGCATTTAACGGATACTGCGTGCCCACTTACTTTTGAAGGCTTGGATGAGCGCCTTGCCATCCTTGATAAGCTCCTTGATAAACTTGTTGGTCTTGTCCAGTTCCAACTCGTGCGATTTGAGCCGCTCTCTGAACAGGGGACTGTCCAGGTAGCAGTCACTAAACTCCAGCGCAGGTAGCCCCATCGTGCTGAATCAAAAAAAAAAAAAACACAAATGCGATGCCAAGAAAAGACGTAAAACACAAGGAGATTCCGGGGGTGCCTTTGTTGAGATCGCTAGTACGGTTGTTCCCGCAGGTCCAGCTTGAAATGATTGCAAATCCTATTACAAGATGCAGACAACGGGAATGTTAAGTTAAAGACTGCGTAATAGTAAGTGCATAGCCTCGTATTCCGATTTTGGTTTAAAAAGTATTGGTTTATTGAAAATCGGCTGCAACGCTCGAGCAACGCGTTCAATAAAATAAGAAATCCGTGCGTAAAAGTGCCCACCGTAGTCTGTCCACTTGTTCAGGTAAGCCGAGGTTGCCTACCCGTCCACTGCGTCATTTTGGTCCGGGGAAAAGTACGATTTGGAGAGGCTGGGGTGATGGATGTACGCGCGCAGGGGATAAACAAACGAGGAGGTACGGAGCGCAGTGTGGCGTGGTGAGTCTTTTAAAATGCACGCACGGCTTTCAACCCAACCCCGCTCAAAGCCAGGACAAGAGGAGCGGAGGTGGAGGCGAGCTACCCCAACCAACGCGGATAATCCCCCGAGTGACAGCGCGCTCGGCCAATCGCGGGAGAGATGGAGGGAAGCGGCGTGAGGGCGGGACGAACGCGGGGCGAGGGATCCACGAGAGGAGGAGAGGGTGAGAAAGAGAAGAGGACTCACTCTTGAAAGGTGGCAACGACATCATGGAGCTAATATCAGTGTTTGACAAGAAGTGATAACATGGCTTTGATCATTTTTGAAAGAAAACTTGTGAAACATTGAACATACAGTTATTGGGACTATTTGCAGGTGTCATTAATAACCAGTATATCACCACTGTAACTCACTGTAATCAGAGGTGGAACTTAATTACAAATATTCACATTACAGTAATTGATGTTTTAATTATATTTTTGTAGATTTTTAAAGCTATGCTCGTACGTTTAATGGAGTATATTTCTAGCCATGTAATTGTAACTAGTTACAGGAAAAATCATATGAGTAGTGAGTAGAGCACAAGTCCCAAATGTCCCAATCCACAGCTGTCTCACCATTGTCTCTGCTGCAGAGGCTGGTCTACACCAAACTGACTGAGGGACATGTGAGTGTTTAAGGATGACAAAAACAATACTCTTCATTAAGCATTAAGCATTAAGCATTTCAGCAATGCATTTACATTTTAGAGGGTGCAAGCATTTTAAAATGAGGGTGCAATGTACAGGTCTATGGGTGCACCCTCTAGACCCAGACCTGCTCTGCTCATTTCTAAACCAACACATAACTGTACTGTCTGTATCTCCTGCTCTGATTGGCCAGAGCTCAGAGAATATGTGGACTGTGGTTTAAAAAGCAGCTAAATTCATCTTAAAACTGCTCATTTGAAATATTGATTTATTATCAATGTATCTTAAATACTGATCTAGAATGCAGCTAAAAATCTATTAAAAAGTAACTCTGAGTACTGTGAGGAGTATTTTTCATGTGTACTGTGTTACTTTAACATCAGTATAAATATGCAGTACTCTTTCCTCCACTGACTATAATAGGCTATATCTAGGTCATATTTTTATAACAGCCATATGTTAATATTATGAAGGTCACATAAAGAATATTTCATGCACACAGTATTTCATTGCACATTGGTCTCCAAGGAGACAAGCATGTGGCATGGCCAGACATAGTTGCCTGATCTGTGGATAGGCGAGCCTGTTCATAGTAAGAAGGCATGTTTTTCAAGGTATTTCAATGTTTTTCAATGAAAATACCTGCAAAATAGACCTGTTTATTACAATACTGTGAAGCACTCCAGGCAAAACAGTATCATCTCAATGGAAACAAGCAGGCGGCTGCCCCCTTGCCAGAAAAGTGACATAGTGCACCTTTAATGTATAATGAGAGAATAAAGCTCATCAGACTTGTTTTGCTTGTAGAGGTAACCCTCTGACTAAACCGTGACTTCAGCCATGTTGATGTCATTGGTATGATGTAATGTAACAGTCATTCACAGAGCTCGTGTTTGGGGTCTGTCTCACGCTCAGCTCTGACCCACACTAACACAACTCACTAACACAGCTCTGCTCATTGTGAACAGCAGCGCACTCTGACAGCCCACGTCTTTAGCCTCGCTCTACTCTCCTGTGTTATCATTATGTCCACTTGTGCCTATACTTACATTTTCCAAATATAAATGTACTGTATTTTTTAAACTTTTATTCTATATTGTTGTTTTTATGCATTTTTATATATTGCATATTTTAATTGAACGCAATGCAAGTTTGAATAATCTTATAAACATTGAATATTGTAATCCAGTTTTAATTTAATAATGATTGAATTGCATAGTCTATCCAGCATTCTAGTGCATTATGGATTTATTTATTCTGCATTTACTTATGAGCCATAACCACTTTGTAAAAAAATTATTGTTACTGCTATAACCACTCCTTTAATACATGCCTTGTAGTCCTCCATTTGCTCTCCTCATCATCTGTGATATCAACTCGTAGTTGTTGCAGGTTTCATCATGTCTTTTCTGTCATTCGGGTTCAGAGCGAATGTGTGCGTCCATAGATGATCTTTGATTGGAGGACACGACACGGTGACGTCATTTCAACACGAGCGGGGAATTTCTGCTCCGTTTCATCCGCACGGGCGTCCCCTGTGGTCATCTGGTGTGCTGCGCCCTCTGCTGTTGGGTCTGCGCATTACAGTTTTAGTGAGCCGTGAACGCCGCTCTTCTGCTCGTGTGAACGCGTTTGTGTTGTGCGCATGTCCGTCAGCGCGCAGGTCCACAGAGACCGCTCCAGGAAACAGGAGACACGGCTGTTTATTTATTTAGCCTGGATCATAGACTCGTTTTATTGGCTTTATCAGCTACTGTGCAGGCAAAGAGGAGAAACTGTCCGTAGAATATTTGAGTTTGGATTGTAATTTAAAGCTCCTATATTATATTTTGTGATCTATGTTGTAATATTTTTTCCTCATCAAAAACACACCATGAGTTGTGTTTTGTTTCATTCACACATTTAAAAAAATTTATTTAATTATTTGCTGTTGTTGTTGTTGTTGTTTTTCTCTCAAACTATATATATATATAATATATATATATATATATATATATATATATATATATATATATATATACATACACAGTGGCGGAGTTAGAAATTTGGGGGCCCTAGGCAAACTTAAGTTTGGGGCCCTCGCTATAATGCATAATTTTTTGTTTTTTTGTTTTGTTTTGGGGTTTTTTTGGCACTTTCTCCATTGTTCTTGAGACATACACATTTCTCTATTTTTTTTTTAATTATGGTGGATTTGAAACTTGTCTAGTTCGGTCACCTACTAGATAACCACAACTGAAAGTAGTTTTATTTTTTTGCTCGTACAATTACGTTTTTGTTTACCTCCATTACATATGATGATTATTATTTTTCTTATGATTATTGTTTAACAGTAAACTACTCTCATTTAATGTCATATTGAGAGAAAAATCAAATTGCTCCGAGGCCTCAGCCATTTGTGGGACTGAGGGCAATTGGTTGGGGGCCCTTCAGGTTTGGGGGCCCTATGTAGATGCCTACTTTTGCCTTAGCGCACCACCTCTGTACATACACACATACATACAAACATACTTATACATATATCATTTAAAACCAAACCAAAACAATAACAAAACTGACATACAAGTAAACATACATTGAGGCAGATAAATCATACAAAGAAATCAATCCAAGAAACTAAGAATAAAATCCTGATTCTTCTGTAATATTGAGTGTTTTGATAGATTTAATGTTAGAAATACTGTTTTTGAAGTGTTTGAAGATAATTCTTAATGTCGAGGATATTTATTTTAAAAAGTCTGTGGTCTATGTTTGGAGAATTTGGATTTATGGATATGAAATTTTGCACAGGTTTACTAAATATTCAGTTTTATATAGTTTATGATGGAAGTGGATGTGTTTATGATTTAACTGAAAACACCTTGTTCCACCTCATGATGCAGTACCTGCCAATCTCTACTGAACGAAAGGTAAAAAGTAGCTGTTAAAGTGAAAATTACAAGGTGGAACAGATCATTTTGAGCTTTGGAGATGTAGACAGACTAATAATAATAATAATATTATTAATAATTCCCCTACAGATTACAGATTACATACACCAAAATGTAGTTTGTAATCCATTAAATTACTTAAAGTGAGTAAAGTAATCTGAATACTTTGGATTACTTGGTTTGCTGTAGAGAAGCAAAGACTTGGAAATCTTCACATAAGATGTTTTGTCTGTTAAAAGTCAATAAAAAGCCCAGACTTTACTGAACCAAATTAAAAATATTATTGATAGAAGAGAAAGAGACACAGTCTGCGCGCAACATGGTTTAGTCCTGTTAAATCCTGGTTTAGTCCTGGTTTAGTCCTGCTTTAGACTTGGTTTAGACTTGGTTTAGACCTGTTTTAGACCTGGTTTTAGACTTGGTTTAGACCTGGTTTTAGACCTGGTTTAGACCTGGTTTAGACCTGGTTTAGACCTGGTTTTAGACCTGGTTTAGGCCTGGTTTAGACTTGGTTTTAGATCTGGTTTTAGACCTGGTTTAGTCCTGGTTTAGTCCTGGTTTAGACCTGGTTTAGACCTGGTTTTAGACCTGGTTTTAGACCTGGTTTAGTCCTGGTTTTAGACCTGGTTTAGACCTGGTTTAGACCTGGTTTTAGACCTGGTTTAGACCTGGTTTAGACCTGGTTTAGACCTGGTTTTAGACCTGGTTTTAGACCTGGTTTAGACCTGGTTTTAGACCTGGTTTAGACCTGGTTTAGACCTGGTTTAGACCTGGTTTAGACCTGGTTTTAGACCTGTTTAGACCTGGTTTAGACCTGGTTTAGACCTGGTTTAGACCTGGTTTAGACCGGTTTAGTTTAGACCTGGTTTAGACCTTTAGACCTGGTTTTAGACCTGTTTAGACCTGGTTTTAGACCTGTTTAGACCTGGTTTAGACCTGGTTTAGACCTGGTTTTAGACTGGTTTAGACCTGGTTTAGACCTGGTTTTAGACCTGGTTTAGACCTGGTTTAGACCTGGTTTAGACCTGGTTAGACCTGGTTTAGACCTGGTTTAGACCTGGTTTTAGACCTGGTTTAGACCTGGTTTAGACCTGGTTTAGACCTGGTTTAGACCTGGTTTTAGACCTGGTTTAGACCTGGTTTTAGACCTGGTTTAGACCTGGTTTTAGACCTGGTTTAGACCTGGTTTAGACCTGGTTTTAGACCTGGTTTAGACCTGGGTTTAGACCTGGTTTAGTGTGCGGCAATGAGTGGAATTACCGGGGGAAAAAAACAAAGAAAAAGAGATAGCCCGAAATGTGAAAACAGGAAAATACCGCCGTGTAATCCATTTATTTCAACCAAGTAACTGTAATCCAGTTACCACTCATTAAAACAGTAACTGTAACCGAATACAGTTACTCATAATTTGTACTCTGATTACGTAACTCCGGTACATGTAATCTGTTACTCCCCAACACTGATTAACATCACATGGCTTAAACCTCAAGAGTCAGTTTTGTGTAATCTTATATTAGCAGGTCAGATCTATAACTGCTACTCCATGCAAGCATTTGTTATAAGTTACTTTTGTCTAATACCAATACATTTTTTTAAAGATTATGTTTTTCAGAATACCCAGAGATTCCTTCAAGGACCTGAACAGAACATGTGTGTACTGTAACCACTGAGCCACCACTGCCTGTCGTTCTTGAAGCAATACTCATGCAACTCAGAATGTGACTGTAGTTGAATCATCGTTGCTCTGGTTTAAGTATACTCCCATCTGCTGGTTGTAAGTTGTCACTACAGCCAAACGCATTATCATCTTAATAATAACTGCACCTTAACCTTAAAGGTGCATTGTGTAACTTTCCTGGTGCAGGGTCCGTCAAATGCTTTTTTCCGTGGACATGTTATTGCTTTGTATGGAAAGTTTCACAGTTATGGCCAAGTTACAGGTCAGATCTGTGGAAAGGCGACCTCGCTCACAGTCAGAACACCTGTTTTTTGTTTTTTTGTTTAGGTATTTTTGAGCTATAAATCCAGCCGTAATTGAATAAATGTAAAGTAAAGCTGTTTAATGTCACACTGTGGAACATTCCAGTCAGAGCAATGACATCTCCATAGAAACAAGCAGGTGACGAACGGAGCCCCAACCAAAAAGTGACATGGTGAGCCTTTAAAGGAGCATGAAAATAATGATGAGATGATAATGAAAAAAAAAAAAAAACTTACTAAGTCATCTTCTGTCTTGTCAATCATGAGTCAATATGAGTCTACCCCAGCGGCTTGGTACAGTGTCCTTTTCTCTACTTTTACTCATGTTTGCGGTCAGTGGCCAAACTCAGGTGCACGTACTTACAGTCGTGACATTCACCTGGCGACAGCTCTTCAAACTGTGTAAAATAATCTGGCCCCATAACCTGTTGGCGGGGTCCCCCTCTGCACAGTGTTTAACATGACCATTGAGGGCCTGGTTACACGAGAACGCTTGCGGGTAAAAACAACTAAATATTTTATCGGAAGTGCTTTTTGTTTAGACGGTGACGGCGTTTTGGGGGCTTAAAAATGCAAAAATCTGAAATCACCATCCAGAGTGGAAAAGTTGAATACTTTCCGTCTACACTAGCCAAGACGCAAAACTCTGGTCAGATCTGCTCACGTCGTGTGCACGTTTACATCACATACATACAGTACACCTCTGTCGGGAGGTGTTCCTGGCATGTCCCTCCCGAAGGAGGCCCGGGGAAGACCCAGGACACGCTGGAGGGACTTTGGCTGCGTTCAGACTGCAGGGCTTAATGCTCAATTCCGATTTTTTTGTGAAATCTGATGTTTTTGCGAGGTCATTCACATTTCCAATTAAATGCGACTTGTATGTGACTCCAGTTTGAACAGTAAACGGCCCGAAAGTGTCCCACATGTGCACTAGAGGACACGATGATGTCAACCGCAGCGAGCGTGCTCTGTGTTTACGGAAGTTGTCCAAACATGGACGCGAGCATTGAGCACCTGGAGATTTTAAAGTTCCTCTCGTACCGGAGCCAGAACATGAACAACTTACTTGTTTTAAAGAGGAGAATAAGAAGGAGAAGGACGAGGTTTTTGGCCGTGGCGTTTTGTGGGGCAGCGGCAGCGACGTCCGTTGAAAGGAACGTGTGGATGTGGAGACGTAGCCAAGAGTGATGAGTGGTGATGTGCTTCGCTTCAGTGACACGGAGTTCATTAGCAATTTTCGCCTACTTCAGCGCAGAATAGTGACGTTTGTGGCTTGTTGATAATGTGTAGGTTGAATGAATGCGCTTTGGCTGTTCACACTGAAGTCACATGTCAAAAGATCAGACATGTATCAGTTTCAGGACCACATATCCAAGTGTCCTGGGTCGCATTTGAAAAAATCGGATCGGTGTCATTCAGACTGTCATTCAAAGATCGGATACAGGTCACATAGAGGCCAAAAAATCGGATTTAGGTCACTTCAGGCTGCAGTCTGAACGCAGCCTTAGTCTTTGGGCTGGCCTGGGAACAGCTTGGGGTCCACCTGGAGGAACTGGAGGACGTGTCCGGGGTTAAGGAAGTCTGGGAGTCCCTGCTTGGACCGCTGCCCCCGCAACCCGGCCCTGGATAAACGGAAGAAAATGCATGGATGGATGTTTGAGTAATGATTTATTATTAGTTTGTTACATCTCCAAAATTCAAAATGCCCTGTTCCACCTTGTGATGTCATCTAGTGCCAGTTTTCGAATCAACCACTACCGCTTTTAAAGTCTTTTCAGTAGAAATGAGCAATTCCAGGGCTGACATCACAAGGTGGAAATGAGTGTTTTCTGCTTGAGAGAAGAAAGCAAATGAAACAGAAAACATACACCAAGATTCTTGTAGAGGCGCAAATACAAGGAACAGTAAAATAAAAGTGAAAAAATGCATAGCACACTGCAAAGCTTTTTTTTATTTTTAATTTTTATTTTTTTATATAATGTTTCCGCAAAAAAGCTTTCATCAGATCATTTTTCCACAGTGTATGAGAGAAGAACTCAGCCTAAATATGCAGGATTTGTGTGTTAAACATGTGAACGAAACAAAACACAACTCCAGGTTTGTTTGTGACGAGGAAACAACATCACAACACATCAGAAAATAGCGTAACATGTGCACTTTAATACATGTATCAATTGATGTGGTGAATCTAATTGCTCCTAAATGGTTCACACCAACTTTTCAAATATGCTTTCACACGTCAGCGCTAATGATTTCTCTTGTAGTTTAGTTCGGCTTATAGTTCCAAAACAGAAACACGAGATAAAAACTACACCCCGTTGCCAAAAATAGGACCACACGCAGGATCTTGTTTAAAACTCGCACGAAAGGTTAAATCAACATTGTTAAATCCATTTTGATCAAGTTACTCCATCTGTTTTATGTCCGGCGAATTATGTTTGATAGTTGTTTACGTGTCTCCAAGCTGGACTCCCCCGTCAGGAATGTCCCATGGTCCGGTCAGACGGTCAGACCAGCTTCCTTTCCGCTCTCCGCTAATTTTAATCCTGACGCAAAGATGTGAGAGTGGACCCGTGACTCTCGGTTCGCCGCAAAGGTAAGTAAAGCCGGGGAATATTGTATGTGTACGTTTCAGTCAAATATTTGTACGATAGCTACTCGTGCTTTGTGATTTGCGCAGGTCGGAGAGAGCGGAGGCGGCGGATCTGGTTGGCATTTCACTATAACACCCTAAAAGGAATCGAAAGAGAGGAATTTCAGAAGATTTGGCAGCCCCAGAAGATGCCTGTGAGCTAATATGCGAGCAAATGGGACAATGTGAAACAACAAGTGAGCAGGTGTGTACAAAAACTTCCAAATATTGTCAAGGGGTGTCACACATGTATCTCTATGGTGAAATGTTCAGGAGTAACACAGTGCACAGATGAACAAATACTAGAGGTGTAACGGTGCACAAAAATCACGGTTCGGTACGTACATCGGTTTTGAGATCTCGGTTAGGTTCATTTTCGGGAACAAAATGCAACTTTTTACTTGTTGTTTATTTGTGTTTTTATTAAACCAACTATTTGTTTTAACATTATACAAACGGGAAAATCAAATAAATGCAAACTGCTGCTTGGTATTACTAATAAGTTAAATCAAGTATTCTCAAATAAGCAACAAATGTATGAAATATTATAAAAAAAAAATTCCTTGTAATCAGTAGACAAAACTTTTCAGACTTTTCTTCATATTTGTGGCCACAATAACCAACTTGTACTCACTGTTACAATGTCCCCAGGGAGGGCAGAGATTCCGTGCCGGCGAATGAGGACCAGAAGCTCGACGACCGTAGTTTTGCGAGGACGTGGTTCGAAAGGGACGTAGTCAAGGCGGGGGGCAATTGTTGTCAAAGCAGTCGCCCTAACTATAAAGCGCCGCGGGAAACACTGCCACCCCAATCACGGACGAATTCCCTCGTGAATATTAAAGAGCCGAGGCTTCCGTGTAGCTGCACATGTAGTGGCGGAATGTAAACACACACCAATTGCGCGAACTCACTCGTGCACAGCCCTGCACCGAACCGATCGTCCCGTACTGAAACAGTTTGGCAGGAATACATGTACTGTTACACCCCTAGTAAATAATGTCAGAAAGTTTGATGGTCTGAAAACTCGAGAAAAAATACAAAATGTAGTTCAGGAGTCTGTGATGAATCATGAATGCAAGAGTTTATGGAGAATGAGTAACTGAAAAAACTGTGGCTAAAGCACCTGTTGTAGTTCCAGTTAAGTCAGGTTTTTTTATGGTCAGACTGTGTTAAAATAAAACACAAAAGTCTCACAAAGTCTAACAAAGCCTCAGACAGAGCAGGGCCTACAGTTAGCATCGCACTCCCAGGGAATGTTGATGACGTCAGCTGCAAAGTAACAGAACAACTTGAAAGAAAAGAGTTGGCATAAATTCTAGTCTAAATAGAATATAGTGGCAGTAGTAGTAGTAGTAGTAGTAGTAGTAGTAGTAGTGGCAGTGGCAGTAGTTGCAGTGGTAGTAGTGGCAGTAGTAATAATGGCAATAGTAGTAGTAGCAATAGTAGTAGTATTAGTAGTAGTAGTAGTGGCAGTGGCAGTAGTAGTAGTAGTAGTAGCAGTAGTATAGTATTAGTGGTAGTAGTGGCAGTAGTAGTATTGGCAATAGTAGTAATAGTAGTAGTAGTAGTAGTGGCAGTAGTATAGTAGTAGTGGTAGTAGTAGTAGTAGTAGTAGTGGCAGTAGTAGTGGTAGTAGTTGTAGTAGTAGTAGTAGTAGTAGTAGTAGTAGTGTAGTAGTAGTAGTAGTAGTAGTAGTAGTAGTAGTAGTAGTAGTAGTAGTAGTAGTAGTAATAGTGGTGGTAGTACTGGTGGTAGTAGTAGTAGTAGTGGTGGTAGTAGTACTAGTAGTAGTAGTAGTAGTAGTAGTAGTGCTAGTAGTAGTAGTACTAGTAGTAGTAGTAGTAGTAGTAGTGGTAGTAGTGGCAGTAGTAGTGGTAGTGGTAGTAGTTGTAGTAGTAGTAGTAGTGGTAGTGGTGGTAGTAGTAGTAGTGCTAGTAGTAGTAGTAGTAGTAGTAGTAGTAGTAGTAGTGTAGTAGTAGTGGTAGTAGTAGTGGTAGTAGTAGTAGTAGTAGTAGTAGTAGTAGTAGTAGTAGTAGTAGTAGTAGTAGTAGTAGTAGTAGTAGTGGTAGTAGTGGCAGTAGTAGTGGTAGTAGTAGTAGTAGTAGTAGTAGTAGTGGTAGTAGTAGTAGTGCAGTAGTAGTAGTAGTAGTAGTAGTAGTAGTAGTAGTAGTAGTGGTAGTAGTGGTAATAGTGGTGGTAGTACTGGTGGTAGTAGTTGTGGTGGTAGTAGTAGTGGTAGTGGTGGTAGTAGTAGTAGTAGTAGTGCTAATAGTAGTAGTACTTGTAATGGTAGTAGTGGCAGTAGTAGTAGTAATGCTTTAATGATTTTTTTTGCGAGATTGTTTACATTTCCAGTTAAATGTGTGTCTCCAGTGTGAACTTTAAACAGCCCAGAAGTGTCCCAGACAAACACTGAAGGACACAACGACGTCACACACAGTGAGTGAGCTCAGTGTTTACGACCTAAACACTGTTTGTGTTTTACAAGCTCATAAAGTTATTTTGTATTGAAAGAAAAACAAATAAACCAAAGTTGCTGATTAAGATAAGACCAAGACTAAATCATGACTTTACCATAAGAAAGAAGTCCATGTATCATTTGTTTATTTATTTTTTCTAAATAAAACCAAAAATATTTTTTTGTTTTTTTCTTCATTATTTGTCTCCAAAACCAGAATGAAAAAACATAACAATTTGTTTTCGATTTTGTGTATAAATGAATAATGGAAAAAAACGGATAATGTTCCGTGACTTAAACTGCAATGCTGGACTTTTGCACCACATATGGACTGAACCAGGACTAAACCAGGACTAAACCAGGACTAAACCAGGACTGATCCTAGGGCTGAACCAGGATTAAACCAGGACTGAACAAGGACTAAAACAGGACTAAACCAGGACTGAACCAGGACTAAACCAGGTCTAAACCAGGTCTAAACCTGGCCCAAACCAGGTCTAAACCAGGACTAATCTTGTCCATATGGTTATCCCCTTGGGGTGCAGAGTTCTGATTTAGTCCTGTTTAATCCTGTTTTAGTCCTGGTTCAGTCCCGGTTTAGTCTGTTAGGGTCAAAGGTTTTTTCCATTATTCATTTAAACACAAAATCAAAAACTGAAAAAAAAAAACCCCAAAAACCAAATTGGTATCCATTTTTTTATTTTGGCTTTGGACACAAATAATGAAGAAAACAGTAGTTTTTTTCATTTTATTATTTTTGGCTTTATTCTGAAAAACAAATGAACGAATGATACACAGATTGAAATACAGCAGGATTGCCAAAACCAAGACTTAAATTACATCCAGAATTGTACCGAACCAGACCTAGACCCGTGCAGACTGTGTACCATTTGTCGTACGCTCACCCCAGTTTGACAACCCGCGTCATCATATTCTCTTTCCTTAAAAAAAAACACCACTTTACATATTTATCAAACACACTTCTCAAATATGCAATCGGCGGATCCCCTCCCACACTCCCGCACCCGCTTGAACTTTCCCACGTCATTCTTAACAGCAGCTCCATCCAAAAGTCCAAAACTATCTCCTCAAATCCCGTAACGTGCTCTGGTTCTGCCGCTGGAGGAACTGTAACGCGAGCGCGAGCAGCTGTGGCTTTGCACTTGTCTGTCTGCTAATATTTTGGATGCCATTCGCTAAGATGTTCCAGATGTGAGGGTGCATCTGGCTCGCAGCGGCGCAGCGGAGTAGGAACTGAGCAATTTTGTGGATTTAAAGTTGGATTGGAGAAAACCAGAGTTGAGTTGTTCGCGGGTAAGTGAAGCAGGATGACACATTTGGATAATACACAACTGTGACTGTGTGAGAACGTTGGGAAGAAAAGCTGTTTTTAGAATTAGGTTTTTTTTTTTACTGTTTTCAAGAACATCATCACTTGCTTTAAAGGTGCACTGCGTAACTTTTTGGTTAGGAGTCCATCACCTGCTTGTTTCTACAGATATGTCATTGTAACAGTGTGACATTAAACAGCTCGGCCTTACATTTATTGAATTACAGGTGGTTTTATAGCTCAAAAATACCTCGAAAAACAGACATTCTGACTGTGAGCGGGGTTGCCTCTCCACAGATCTGACCTGCACCTTTAAATATCATATATATTTAACAGAGAAATACTATAAAATCTTTAAAAACCAATGAAGATAAAACTAAATCTGGAGTATTTATTGGAGTACAATCTGTCTATCACTCATTCATTTGTTTTTCAATATAAAACCAAAAATAAGAAAACAAAAAAACAACTATTTTCTTCATTATTTGTCTCAAAAACCAAAATGAAAAAAATGGATAACGATTTGTTTTTTCAATTTTCGATTTTGTGTTTAAATGAAGAATGGAAAAAACAGAAAACAGCTGTTTCCTGTTTCGTGACTTAAACTGCGATGCCGGACTGAACCAGGACTAAACCAGGACTGAACCAGGACTAAACCAGGACTGAACCAGGACTAAACCAGGACTGAACCAGGACTAAACCAGGACTGAACCAGGAATAAACCAGGACTGAACCAGGAATGAACCAGGACTGAACCAGGAATGAACCAGGACTGACCTGTTTTCAGTCCCGGTCTGGTCCTAGTCTGGTCCCGGTCTGGTCCTAGTCTCAGTCCTGGTCGGTCCCGGTCTGGTCCTGGTCTGGTCCTAGTCTCAGTCCCGATCTGGTCCCGGTCTAGTCCTAGTCTCAGTCTTGATCGGTCCCAGTCTGGTCCTAGTCTCAGTCCTGGTAGGTCCCGGTCTGGTCCTAGTCTCAGTCCTGGTCGGTCCCGGTCTGGTCCCGGTCTGGTCCCCGTCTGGTCCTAGTCTCAGTCCTGGTTGGTCCCGGTCTGGTCCTAGTCTCAGTCCTGGTCGCTCCCGGTCTGGTCTGGTCCCTGGTCTCTGGTCCCGGTCTGGTCCTAGTCTCAGTCCTGGTTGGTCCCGGTCTGGTCCTAGTCTCAGTCCTGGTCGCTCCCGGTCTGGTCCCGGTCTGGTCCCTGTCTGGTCCTAGTCTCAGTCCTGGTCGGTCCCGGTCTGGTCCTGGTCTGGTCCTAGTCTCAGTCTCGATCTGGTCCCGGTCTAGTCCTAGTCTCAGTCTTGATCGGTCCCGGTCTGGTCCTAGTCTCAGTCCTGGTCGGTCCCGGTCTGGTCCCGGTCTGGTCCTAGTCTCAGTTCTGGTCAATCCCAGTCTGGTACTAGTCTCAGTCCTGGTCTGGTCCTAGTCTCAGTCCTCGTCGGTCCCGATCTGGTCCCAGTCTGGTCCCGGTCTGGTCCTAGTCTCAGTTCCGGTCTGGTCCTAGTCTCAGTTCCGGTCTGGTCCCGGTCTCAGTCCCGGTCTGGTCCCGTTCATCCTCCAAGGCTCTGACCTGATCCAGACAGAACAGAGACTCTTTCTGCAGTAGAGCGCGGGGAGAAACGGGGGAAATGCGCCGAGGAAGACGTTTGTTTGATTGCGTTTTGAACAGTTATTTTACGCTTCACACACACACACCCTCCTCATGGAAAACACACGAAGAAATGCAGATGATGCAGCTTTTAAGTTAACGGCGACTGATGTGTCTGTGGAAGAAGGAAACAGAGCTGCTGCACGTGAGCTCGGCATCGGTGAGTCGACGGTGAGACTTTGGCGACGGCAGCGTGACGAACTGACTCAGTGCAAAAAGACGACAAAAGCTTTCAGAGGCGATAAAAACAGACGGCTCGAACTTGAAAAAAATTCTTGAAGACGTGGACACCTGCGGCTTTTATTCAGATGCGACCTACATATGTACAGTTTTAAAATTTTGTCGATGCAGCTTATATTCAAGTGCGCTCAATAGTCCAGAAAATATGGTAAATGTGAAATAGACAAGTTTAATACCTAGAAGTATGCAAAAATATTGAAATATCCTTATATCGTATTGTTTAATTTAATGATACAGCATCGATATCGTGGGCTGCTGTATCGATATATTGCGAGTAAGAGTATTTTTTAAGTATATTTTACTAAATTATTTTGTGTATTTTGTAGGGATGTAACAATATCCAAATCTCATGGTACGATATTATCACGAGATACACCTCACGATACGATATTTATTGCGATATTTTGTAGAGGCTGATATAACTGTAGACGGGACTCTTTTTTTTTTTTGCTTTTAAAATACCTTGACAAGATTTTCGTGTGAATTATTTTCATTTTAATCCCAAGAATTCAAGTAAAAAACATATTTCTTTGTGTTGTCAGCACTGAAATGAATCATGGGATATGTAGTTCCCAATGTTTATAAGCTGTTGCTACTGTAAAACCATGTATTTAAGCAAAGAAACTTGTCTCCCATGATATTATTGTGAGACTTTTGACGATACGATATCACGATATTTAAGTTATTGTTACATCCCGAGTATTTTGTGTAATTGTGTTGACGTTTTTGCTGTTTTGATGAGTAAATTGGGTGTTTTTCATATTCACTTTCTAGAAACTTAGTGAACTTTTAGCATCACAGCCATGAATTTTTTAGCCTTTCTTTTTCACTGAACCGTATCGAATTGACTTGAGATATATCGCATCTAATCGTATTGAATCGAAAGCGCACTATATCGAAAAACATATCCTATCGTGGCCTATGTATCGAGGTATGTATCGTATCGGCAACTTCTTAATGATACCAACCATCACATCGTCATGGAGACAAGCAGGTGGTGGACCCTCTTACCAGAAAAAAATCACACACACGGCGCATCTTTAAAGTCACACTGCGGAATCTTCTGCCTATCTCTTTCACTTGTTACTCTCCTCGGCCTTGATCCGATCCAGGTGACGTTACATCGCTGCCATCTGGAAACAATTTCTACAAGAAAGAAAAAAAAAAAAACCTCAAGGCAAAGCGTCAAAGATAGGAGACTAGTTTGGACATGTATCGCTTTGTGTTTGGATAACGGCCAGTCCAGCACGTCTGCGCGGGCTTTTATCATCCACACGACGACACAGAGGGGCAGACGTTTACAGAGCGCGCTGCTGGGAATAGTTTTGTTTGTTCCTGTAAGACCAAAATGAGGGCAGCGCTGTCTTCTCTGCCCTGCTTTTCCTGTCTCAAACGCTCCCAACAAGTGGAAGAAGCAACTGGAAGCAGAAAATAATGGAGGGATTAAAGTGCGTATGGCAGCTTTTCATGTTTTGGTGTTTTTGTGGTTATGATTTGGGTCGGTGGGAGAGTTAAGAGTTAAATGGGAGTTTGTGAAGATAAAAAAAAAAAGTTGGAACAGGGGGTAGCGGTGATTTTTAAAGGTGCACTGCGTGATAGTTTGCTTTGCCTGCTTGTCTCCGTGGAAATATTATTGCACTAACAGCCCTATGAGAGATTACAGTTCAGATCTGTGGAGAGTCAGCTCTATTCACAGAAGGAATGATTGTATTTTTGAGCGATAGAAACACCTGTAATAAGTAAATGCTAGATGTTTAATGCCATACTGCGGAACATTCCAGGCAAAGCAATAACGTCTCCATGGAGATAAGTACGTTTAAAACAGAATATCTCTCAGTACCAAAGTCATTAATGGTGAAAATTTGTCCAAAATGTATAGACAATTAACGATTATTTTTTGAACAAATAAGAATTTTTAGCATTTATTTCTATCGTACAATGAAATTATTTGATCTTCTGATAATTTATTTGAATAAATTCTCAGTTTTCAGACCAAGGTTGAGTTTGATTTCATATCTGACACTTTCGACTGTGATGTGACGTTGCTGAGAAGTGTCTGTTCAGCGGATTTAGATGTAACTTTTGTGTCATTTAGCCATTGTTAAAGGTGCAATGAGCAACTTTTCTACTGCAGGGTCCACTACCTGCTTGTCTCCATGGAGATGTTAGTGCTTTATTTAGAATGTTCCAAAGTACAGATTAAGGCCCCATCCACACTAGTACGTATTTGAGTCGTTTTTCATTGTGGATGCAGTGTTCGTCCACACTAATCTGATGGAAAACGACTCCAGACAGAACAGACTCACCATCAGCAGAACACCCCTCTGTCAAAGAAAGAACACTCCTATTCCACTGAGTCGTGTCCTTTAGTCCGACAGAAGCTGAACTGCATCAGCACGCAATAGCAAGCTGTTTTGAGCGCTCAGTTTATGCAAATGAGCCGGTTTTAAGTTTAATTTCTGTAAAACGGAAACAAATATGCTCAAAGCTGTGGGATAAGGAAGGCTTGCGGACACAGAACCGATGTGTCTGGACGCAAATTGTTTCCAATGCGGTGATACATTCGTTTTAGTGTAAACGGGGTCTCAGCCTATCAATCACAAGGGAGACAAGAAGGTTACAGAACTACGCTACATTACCAGTTCAGATCTGTGGAGAGGCGCCCCTAATCACAGAAGGAATTAATGTACTTCTGAGCACTCATAATGAATAAATGTTAGATGGATATGTTTAATGTCATACCAAGGGAAAGCAATAACATCTCCATGGAGAAAAGCAGGTACCAGACCCCCGCAAGAAAGGTTACGCTGTGCACCTTTAACAGTATGACAGTGGTGTTTGTTTACTGATCTGAAGCTTGGTGGTTCAAATCTCAACATAAACATCATTGGTGGAGCGGTCAAATCCACTAACCCACATGTTGGCAGTGTGACTCCAGCTCCCACAGATAAATGCTGTTGTGTCCTCGGGCAAGACACTTAACCCACCTCGGCCCCAGTGTCTCTGTACGCTGGTGTGTGAATGTGTGTGTGAATGTGCGAGTGGTTCCTTGTTGTGCAGCGTTTTGAGTGTCTTGAAGGTGGAAAAGCGCTGTATAAAAATGTGACCATTTACCATTTATCGATATGGTTGCTAGGTAACCGTAGAAATCCCCCCCTAGGAATCCTATTTACATATGTCACAAGTGCTGTTTGTGTCCAACCAGAAAGTAAAATTATAGGCCTAAACTTCAAAGCTTAAAAAAGGTTAAAAATGTAGTAAAACAAACTAGAAAAGCAGTCAGAGAGCGCAGACCTCCGCCAAGGACTACCCCCATTTTTTATATAAATTGCGATAAAATCAGTCTTCTGGATCAGATCCGGATCAGCCTTTGGAATATGAAAGAGGATCCCATTGTCCATCCCTGAGTCAAATTTCATGGGGTTTGGTCAATAATTAACCGAGATATTGAGAAACAAAATTTTTGGCCCCATTTACCACAACGTTAACTAAAATTTCAAAGTGATCCCGAATCCACAATTTCTTAAGGATCACCCCCAAAATGAAATCTTCCTTTTCACATTTCCAACAAAGCCTGAAAATTTCATCAAAATCGGTCCATAACTTTTTGAGTTATGTTGCTAACAGAGAAACAGACAAACAAAGAAACAAACAGACAAACGCCGGCAAAAACATAACCTCCTTAGTGGAGGTAAAAATAGTAAAAAGCCACAGAATGTAGCATTTTTGCCCAAAATAGACTTGTCTATCTCAAGGGAGACTATTCCAAAGTATGCCTGTAATCTTGTATTTCAGTGGAATCATGCAGCTGACTTTCCACCAAGTTAGTGTATCTTAAAAGGCCCATATTACGCAATTTTCTGATCTATGTTATAATGTTTTTTCCTTGTGAAAAACAAACCCGGAGTTGTATTTTGTTTCATTCACATATCTTTAACACACATACTCTGCAGATTTAGGTAATCATATTTTTCTATCCAACGGAAAACACTCTGTTCCACTTTGTGATGTCATGTAAAATCGATACACTGTCACTAGAATCATTTTGGATGATTTCAGCTCTGGAATTCCCAATCTGTAGTGAACTAAAGGTCGCTGTTAACTTGAAAAATACCTCTTCATGACATCACGAGGTGGAACAGAGCATTTTGAACTTTGGAGATGTAGACAGACTAATAATTCAGGGTTACTCAAACATGTGTGAATGAAACAAAACAAAATACATCTCATAAGAGTCCGTTTTGTGTAATATAGTCCTTTTGATGCAGTGACACTAATATCCGCTTTAATTCTCCATTGCAGCCTGTTGTTCTTCCCTCCGATACACAGGATTCTCCCGGGATGTACGAGGTGGGGGACGTGACCGTGCTGCCCCCCACCCCCTCAGCCTCTCCTCAGGACAGACCCACACACGAGAACAGGACTCTGACCAGACTCTACTGCAAGAACGGAGGATACCACCTGAGAATCACTCCAGAGGGCAGAGTGAGCGGGGGCAGGCAGGACAATGACCCCTATGGTAAGAATGGATTTCAACAACGCAGGAGGAGGAGGACAAACAGACAGATAGATAGATAAATAGAGAGATAAATAGTAGTAGTGAATGCTTTTGTTTTGTAGATGTGCTGAGGCTGAGGGCTGTGAGTGTGGGGGTGGTGGTGATAAAGGGGGAGCACAGTGGACGGTACCTGGCCATGGACACAGAGGGACGCCTGTACGGAGCTGTAAGTCACTCTTTACGCTTAATATACTCCTTTATTATGCAAAAGCCATGCTATAATGTTGTTACCTCCTCATACCTGGTGTTGTGTTTAGTTTCATTCACACATGTTTGAGTAATCTTTTATTATCCAACTGTCTACATCCTTGAGTTCAAAATGCTCAGTTCCACCTTTAGCGTTTTCAGGCTGACAGAGAACTGTGCCAGTGCTGGTTCCTGCACCTAATCTTGAACCGACTGACATGTTCACACTGAAAATCAAAGCGTTCAGAAATCGAAAAGTTGGTTCGCGATGGCAATCAAGTAAAACATGGTTTTCCAAGCGAACCCTAATGACACAGTAGTTGTCAGCAGATTCATCCTGGTCACATGTGGTACAATAAACAAAGTGTGTGGAATATGGTGGAGAAATCAAGTGACAAGAAGATTGTCCAGTGGTCGGTGGACGAGACCAAATATTTGCTCTATCTGTGTTCACCTGGTAAGGCTCCATCTTTGGATTGGGCATCTCTGCTGCCTTCTTCACAGCAGATGTTGTAGCAGAGCTCGGCTCAGACAAATAATGATTTGTATAAGTACAAACTCTCACTGGTGTCGATATTTCCTCACTCTGACATCCGCTTTCCGCCCAGGCCTGTCTGAAGAACCCGGCCCGAAAACAGCTTGTGTGATGTCTTGAAGTGGTACATTTTACTTTTACTTCAGTAGAGGTTGGAAATTCCAGTGCTGAAATGATCCAAATGATTCTAGTGAAGTGGAGTGTGTTTAAAAACACCGTGGAGCACTTCCTGTGTTACCACACAATATCACAAGGTGAAGTTTTCTGCTTGAGAGAAGAACTCGGGGTAGAACTCTGGGTTAGTGACGAGGAAACAATATTATAAGATGAATCAGAAAATAGTGTAATGTGGACCCTTCTGTGAGTGGGGGCACCTCTCCATAGATCTGACCTGTAACTTGGCTTGGTTGAGTCACCTGCGTGTCTTAGTGGAGATTATGTCATCATACCATACCTTGGAACAACTCACAACATGACAGCTCCATAGAGACATACAGGTGATGGACCTTTTACTAAAAAACATTCCGTAGTGCACCGAAGTTAGTTTACTTGAAGATAATTAGTGAATTTTGACAAATATAAAACATAAAATGAGACATTAAATCAACACGACTTCTTATATATAGACAGAAAACTCATGTTATTGCGTCAACTTAATCTACTACTCCAAATCTACAAAATTATCTTTATGTAAATACAGTTTCAGATCTTCCACCAAGCCCTTTAAAATTTTATCTTATGACGTAAATTCCAGCTCACTCATTACTAATCATTCCTGGAAGTCTCATTTTGCAAGCTGGCCGACCCACGTCTCGAGAGGTCCACCTTACACAATCTGACCATTTCTGAGTAATACTCGCTCACTGCACCCAAAGGCCTTTCATCTGCCTTGAACACTCCTCTAACACTCATTCATATTCTTTCTTGAATATTCTTTCTCTGCAGGTATCTCTAAACGACGAATGCCACTTCATTGAGACGTACGAGGAGAATCATTACAACACGTACCGCTCGCAGAAGCTGGGATGGTACGTGGGACTCAAGAAGAACGGCCAGCCCAAACCGGGACAGGACACTCATCTGGGGCAGAAGGCCGTGTTCTTCTTGCCCAGGCCTGTCTGAAGAACCAGCACGTACACACACGCTATTGTTAAAGGTGCATTGTGTAACTTTTCTGGTGGAGGGTCCAATGGAGGGTCAAAGGCTTTTCTCCATGGAGATGTTATTGCTTTCTCTGGAATGTTTCACAGTATGGTGTTAAACCGTTCTATCTTCATGGAGACCAAACCAAACCAAGTGACAGGTCAGATCCGTGGTTATATCCATAGAAACAAGGAGGTGACGAACCCTCCACTCAAAAAGTTACACAATGCACCTTTAAAGTGGAACTAAACACCTAAACGCCACCAAAAATCATTTCAAATCAAGCTGCTAAACTGGGCAGTGCCTGTGGATTCTTGTGAGTTTTAAGTCATGTTAGAATGTTGTTACCTCCTCAAAAACAGACCTGAAGTTGTGTTTTGTTTCATTCTCACCATTTTGAGTAATCTAGTATTAGGGCCTGTTTACATGAGAACGCTTGCAGGTAAAAATGACTAAATATTTTATCTGAAGTGACACATGGAACCAAAGGGAGGACCCAAAATGCCGGACCGCTTCAGTTGTTTAATGTAACAAAACCAACAAAACTGAAGAAACCAAATCCAAAAATCCAAAACCAGAAACTACAAAAGACAAGATACTGACAATGACAAAAACAACGGACCAACAAAGGGCAGAGGAGAACACAGTGCATAAACGCACACACACACGGGTGAAACACAACTCAAACTATAAGCAGACAGGACAAATGTCAAAATGAAACACCAAAGGCACACAACACTATAGGAAAAGATACACCAAAATAAGCAAAACCAACAATGACAGAACATGACATGAAGTGCCTTTCGTTTAGACCAGGCATGTCCAAACTATGGCCCGGGGGCCAAATGCGATCAGACACATTTTTCTTGGCCCTCAGGCTTCTAGGTGAACAAATTACCTTGCCAATTAAAAAAATTTTTTTACTGCAAGTTTTTTGAAAATCTATGTTGAAAAGCTAATTTTAATATTTAACTTTTATTTTATATTTTAAGGAACATGATTAAAACTGGTGGACTAACGTGAACATGCACACATTTCAATTACTGTATGAGCACCAGTCTATGTCCCTCGATCGGCCCTCTGCTTCGTCTGTGTTTAGATATGTGGCCCTTGATGAAAAAAGTTTGGACACCCCTGGTTTAGACGGTGATGGCATTTTTGGGGCTTAAAAACGCAAAAATCTGAAACCACCCTCCAGAGTGGAAAAGCTGAATACGCTCCGTCATAGCGTCGTAGCGTTGCCCAAGATGCAAAACTCTGGTCAGATCTGCTCACGTTTGCGTTTACGTCACATACATACCTGGCATGCATACCCAATCGAATTCCACACACTTGCGCGTGACCATATGTACGCAGATTTCCTCCCGAAAACGCTCGTCTAAACGCGGAATAAAAAGTGAAGACACTACGCTACTTTTACGTCTTCTGTTCAGACTGTCATCATATAAACGTAGCGTAAGTCTGTGTACAACTCCAAAGCTCATAATGCTCAGTTTGTACCTTTAGTTCAGTAGAGATCGGCAATTCCAGAGTTAAAATCATCCAAATGATTCTAGTGAAGGTGTGTGGAGTTTAAAAACACAATGGAGCACTTCCTTTATTACCACCTGACATCACAAGTTTGAACAGATACGCATAAATTGTGTGTTTGACGTGTGAATGAAACAAAACACAACTCCAGGTCTGTTTCTGATCTGGAAACAACATTATAAGATAACTCAGAAAATAGCGTCATATGGGCTGATTAAGAAAAGAGTGAGGGGGGAGGAGAGGCGGGGACTAGGGGTATAAGAAACACTGTGATTGGTCAATCCACACTTCAAACTCCGCCCCTGCAGCCAGGTAATTGTGATCAGAAACACTGGGCTGTAATCAGGATAGTGTGAGTGATGTCACCAACTACTTGAGATTGCAAAAACAGTGGTGGATTAAGTACTTCATTTTGTTACTTAAGTAAAAATACAGATACGAAGGCAAAATGTTCCTCATGTAAAAGTAAAAGTATTAAATGAAAAAATTGACTTAAGTAAAAGTAAGTAAAAAGTAAGTACCTGTTTAAAAATGTACTTAAAGAGTAAAAAGTAAAAGTATTTTGCAGAGATTTTTAGAAGAATTTAAGCATGAAATGTAGTGATTGTGATCAAGAATTTAACTGAAATTAAGAGATCAATCAGTTGATTTCTTCATTTTTCTAGTCGTTTTTGTTGCTCAAAGTTGGGACAGCTAAAAATAAGTCTCACACATTTCAGCAGGTCTCAAACCATAAAGAAAAGTACTTTTTACTTTTCATGCCAGATCCAAATATAGTAAAGTAGAAAGTACAGATACATGCTCTCAAATGTAGTAAAGTAAAAGTAAAAAGTATCCACTATAAAATGCACTTAACTAAAGTACAGATACCTAAAAATTTTACTTAAGTATTGCACCTAATTTATACTTTGGCTTCTGCACAGTGGTGGAAGATAACAATGTAGGCAGTACACTTTATCTTGTTTGCTCTAACATTGCCAAAAAATGATTAGAGACAGTAGATAACGCTTTTAAAACACTATAAAACACCATATCAACAGTTTAATAGTGCAAAAACAAATAGATTTAGTGTCTAGTTACACTTTAATATGACCAAATAATGTTGCTAAAGAGATATTTGCAACAAGGGCTGTGCTGTTGATACATTTTAAAAGAATGTGTTACCAGTAGTTAGCAGTTATTGTACTACTGCTTCCTGGTTCGCACACGATAAAAATGCTTCATGATGAGACACTGACAGCAAACACAGGTGTCATGTTGACCCTAAGAGCTGCTTTTACTATATTACAAAATGATATCTGTATTGTGCTAGTAGAAATTTGGCTTTTTGTGTTTGAAATAGCAATGAGATTCGGTTAATTTATAACATCAACTATGATTCATTTTTGTTGCGTTGGCCAGCCCTTTTTGCAACCACTTAAATGGACTTATACTGTAGATACTGTATTAACTTAAATGCTACTCACAGTCACACTTTGCAGGTCCTATATTACACAAAATTTATTCTTGTGAGCTTTAAAAAACATACCAGGAGTTGTGTTTTATTTCATTCAGACATGTTTGAGCAACCCTTTATTATTAGTCTGTCTACATCTCCAAAGCATGTTTCATTCCACCTTGTGATGTCATGTAGTGGTAGTTTTAAAGTTAACAGCTACTTTTTACTAGCCAGGCTGGCGCCACCTAGTGCCTCCACTCAATTTCATTTCTCTTCGGCGACTAGGTCAGGAATCGGAATACACTAGACCAGGGGTAGGCAAACTATGGCCTGGGGGCCAAATGCGGCCCTTTAATCTTTTTAATCCGGCCCGCCGAATTTGAATTATAATAGTAGAAGTTGTAATGCTTTATAATGATTTTCAATTGAAATTCAAGCACATGTTTTCTATACATCCCATGTTATTTATTTTCTCTTAGGAAGTAGATTACCAAAACACTCCATCTATCTGCTTCTTGTCTGGCCCTTCTGTCAAATTTTAGAACTCTTTGTGGCCCACAAGTCAAAATTTTGCCCACCCCTGCACTAGACGGTTGGCAAGAACCCCGGAAGTGCGAGTCCAGGCACCAGCCAATCAGTGAAGAGTCAGACATTCTGTGCTGGCAACGATTCCCGAGGTTGACGATTTAACGCCGGAACAAAAAGAATGTTTGGTGAATTTTATCAAGGGGAAAGACGTTATTGCCCTTCTTCCTACGGGATTTGGGAAAAGCTTAATGTACCAGTTAGCCCCGTTAGCGGTGCATTACATACATCATGACGAAATAGCAGCGATTGTTTAAATAAAAAAGTGCCCGTCTACCGTCAAGCGAACGAATCCTAATGCTGCGGGGTCAGATGGTTTCTATGAAGTGAAACCGGCTAACGGTTTCAACAAAGGCTAACTTTTTCATTCTAGTTCATTAAAAATTAGTCATTCCAGGGCTGAAATTATCCGAATGATTCAAGTGAAGGTGTACGGAGTTTAAAAACACAGTGGAGCCCTTCCTATATTACTATTACTTTGTGTAGGAGAGAAGAACTCAGTGTAAATACGCAGAGTTTGTGTGTGACTGAAACAAAACACAACTCCAGGTCTGTTTGTGATGATGATAGATCAGAAAAAACTGTAATATGGGCGTGAGTTTTCTTTCTTTTCCCAGTTGTACCATTTTGAGTTGGAACATTGCAATAAGATTCATAAGATGCATGCTAATAGTACGTCCAATGCAATGCTTCAAATTATGGTTTACCAAGTTCTACCAAAACTTTGTAGCTTTATCCAAACATCCCAAGTTTTAACCTCTTGTTCAAACGATTCTCAATTCTCTGTGGTCCTCTCAACTCAACTATGTGGGCAGAGCTGTTGTGTCAGGCTGAGAAATGACTTTTAAATTTGAGCTGTGGTTCCAAATACCACTTCAGTCGACCAGTTAGGAGCCTATTGTTAATTAATGTGGGCCATAAATCAAAGCGCAGTAACAGAGCGCAGTGATTGTCCTGATTTCAAAGTGTATTCATATATAGATAGGCTGTTGGAGATGGTGTGTTTAGAAAAACAACAGCACTGCTACTTCAAATCACAAAGTAGAGTCTCAAGAAGTTACTCACGAGAAAAGTTGGGTAAGATACTACTGAAGTAAGAGTACTAGTAATTGAAAGTAATGTGAGTATAACTGTCTGGACATAATATTTTATTTATAATTTGAATTTGAATGGACAAAAAACATTAAATAATAATAAGAATAATCTGTTATTTTCAAAGGATAAACAAAGAAAGGAGTGAAGGAGTGGAGCAAGAAACACAATTCTTCAAATCATTTCATATTGCCAGTACTGTCATTGTAAAAGTTCTACTACACGGTAAAATATACAATGTAAATACTGTATTTTTCAGACTATAAGTCACTCCGGAGTATAAGTCGCACCAGTCAAAAAATGCATAATGAAGAAGAAAAAAAACATATATAAGTCACACTGGACTATAA